AAGCCTCCCGTGAGCGGCTCTCTTGCGGCTGATGTTACTCCGTCCTATGCGCCCTCTCGGGCTATGCAGGCGAGCGCTAGGAATTGGGAAGGAAAATTTGGCTGTCGGAGGCATCGCCAGAAATGCAGCAAAATACAGCAAAACGCTCGCATGGGTATTTTAAGACAAGGACCATCTGGGATGGCATCAACTGAGCAAGTACCAGGGCAACTTGCAAGGAAGAGGAGAAGGCCAGGCAGTTGAACGCACAACACCACCAGGCGCAATGAGCAGCTGCGCCTTGGTGGCTGAGCACCTGCGTGGCCCGTGGGAGGGTCTGGGGTCTCTGGCCAGCCCCTTCAGTGTCAGTGTAGTCAAGGGTTCTAATTCAGGAGGGCAGCCCTCTGTTTTCCTTGGGCAAGGTCCACTCGAGTTGGCTTGAAGGTTGGACGGTGCTTCTCTTCAGCCCTGGCCTCGTCTTCCCTCCTGTCTCCTCTCCCTGACTGCTGCCTCTTAAGTTTCAGCCAGAGCAACAGGGTAGAGCTGTTGTGAAGTCAGCCTCAGCCCCAGGGAAGAGGTCAGGAATACTTCCTTGCTTTGAATTCGAAAGGCTGGGTGAGTCTGTCCATTTTGGGTGGCCGAGGCACCACCCTTTTCCCCCATAAAACTCCAGAACCTCCTTAAGATTCAAGCCAGGCCTGGATTTTTTCTGTTGGTCACTTGTAATGCAGGAGAATAGCAGGGACTGACTTTTCTAGAGAGAAGGAAGATTCTGTCTACCTACATTAGCCATTTCCATGAAAATGATATCCAAGGGACGTCAGATGTGAGGACCAACAACAAGCTGAACGTGAATCAGCAGTGAGAGGTAGTGGCTAGAAGCACTAACACAGTTTTGGGCTGCATCAGAAGCAGCATCATAGCAAAGATGTGTGAAGTCTTTGTTTCTCTCTAAATATAATTAAAAACTTTTGGTCAGATCTGTCCAAGAGCAGACATGTGTCCCTGTGATGGCTTCTCCATCTCTGGGAGCTTTTAAAAAGAGGCTGGTCATCCATCAGCTCTCCTGAAGGGCTTGGTTGGTTTTCCTGCACGTTGCACAGGGTTGGACTAGATGGTCCTTGTGGCCCCCTCAAACGCCACCGTTCTGTGAGTCATGCTGATGCGGCAGTGCTGAACCTACTTGGAAGGACCAAAAGGTCGTGTGAGTGTATCATTTTTTCCTCCAAAGGAAGCCATCCAGGCACAGAAGCCAAACCTGGAGAAAGATTCCCCCCACTGTTGTTGCTCCCAGCTTGTAAGTTCTTCTCCTTGTTGACACCACATCAGAAATCACCAAGCTGCGAACACGTAGCCCTGGATTCAGCACCACAACTCATGACTTTCAGAAATGTTGACTTGGTGCTGGAAGGAGCCCAGGGCAGCCCAGTTAAGAGCCAGGGGGTGCCACTCAGATCTCGGAGAGCCCTCTCTGAAGGTCAGTGTCTGGAGCAGGCAGCATAAGGCACGTGGGGCATGGATTTGTAGTTCCTGGCCCACCGGTTTGAATTGCAATGTCTCCCGTGGTGAGTCAGTGTGCTTAAATTGGATATCCGAGTAAAAAATGTGCAGCTGCTAACGTTATGAAGTGGTGGTGACACCATCTCTTTTCGGCTTGCATGAAGTACTGGCCTTCAGGGTGAGTCACAGCAGGTTTGGAAAACTACGCTAGCTGCCAGAATGTTAAAAAAATCATTTTTTATACCGCCGCGTCACCTAGATGTGGTAAAAAGAATATTTGCTCATTAATGCTCTATAAACAAGTTGAGTGATGTGCTTTGCAACTGCATCTGGGGAACCAACAAGGACGTTTGCTGACCCATCTACAATTAGCGAGAGTGCGGGAAGATCTGCTGAGGAAAAGGCATTTGATGCTCTTCGAGGGCAACTTCTGTTGTTCAGCCTCATGTTCTATGTCCTGATGCGGTCTTTTTCCCTTGATCATAGCACTCCTTGAAAGTCTTTCATGTTGTATCCTCATGATTGCTGGAGCGGACTTTGTCATTCGGCCACATTATTAAATAGCTGCAAGCATTTCTGCGCAGGAGGAGTGGAAAGACGCCCCCCCACCCGCCTCCTGCAGTGGGGGCAGCTTGCAGGAAAGGCCTTGCCTGTGTCCAGAGAGGCTGCCGCCTCCTCTCTGGGCGACCGAGCAGGGTCTTGAGTAGCCAGCCCCAGGGCTCTGCCCCCAGCTGGGCAGAGATCAGCTGGGCGGTTTTAACTTCTTGCATTCCCTCTCGGGTGGTGAAGTCATGAGGTGGAGGACCTGGTGTGGTTCCGGTCGTTCATTATTTTGCTGGGACGGTTTTAGCCCCATGTCAGCCACCGGGGGTTGCTATTCACCCAGCGTTATTAGGACATTTTGAATCTGGTGGCTGCTCAGCATTCATACATCAGGTTAAGCTGTTGCAAGGTTGGCGTGCTCTTCTGTGAAGCCACTTGGTTGCGGTGCGTTTGCTCTCCTTGCCTTCCTGCGATTTCCAAGCTGGTCTCTCACACAACACTCCAGCTTTTACATGCATGCAACATGCTGAAGGTTGCAGTGCGATGCTTGCTCTGGTGTTGCCTTTGGCCTATTTGAAAATAAGCTCAAATGACAATTGCACCGTCCTGTCTTTAGGAAAAGCAGGTTTCCTAGTACTTGGGGGTCCTGTTCTGAGCACTGTAAGTGCAGCATTGTACCCATAACTCTCCTGGTTATGTACAAAGCCCAGTACTCATTTTCCTCATGTTAATTTTCTTTTCTAACAGTCTTCGATCAGCGAGAGCCTCCAGCGGGAAGCCTTAAAAAAGCAAGCAATGAAACAAGTAAGTTGTTGCAGCATTGGTGTGCCCGTGTCCCTGTTCTCCGGTGCCGCTGTGCCAATATAAATGCCCATCAGTGATCATTCCTTCTGCTTTACCATACAGTCAGTGTACACAGCGGTGGCCCCGTAAGGCCAGAGGCAGGCTGGGTGAGACCCAAGGCCAGCCCTGTTCAGCATTCCTTTCTCACAGGCAGCCATGTCATGGGTAGGATCAAAAAAGTCAAGATGGTGGCTTTTGACTTTTTTGACCCACCTTCCTCTGCAGATACTCCTGCTCACAGGAGAAACTCCCTTGGAGGATGTACAGCTGGTCCTCTTTCCAGCAGGAGACCTTCCGCCTCAAACCCCAGAAGTAACAGACAATCATGAGGACTAGTAGCCCTCTACTCTGGTCTTCTCATACTTGCCTGCAAGAGCAGATGATTTTTTAAAATGGTTATAAACCAAATTATAACCCCCAAAATTATAATTCTTGAAAGCACAGTTTAAACTTTGGGAGCAGTAATAATATTTCCCCTTTATTACAGATTTCTAATGACTTTTAATAAGTTACCAGTCAGCGTAATGTGTACAGGCAGGCTTATATGTGAATTCATGATTGGAATACTTAATATGATTTATGTACATGGTTTTACACAATAGTTCTTCTTGGCACTAGGTCTGGAACTTGCTGTCTTACTTCATAAAAAAAAAATATCAAAATGTTAAGTTTTCGTTTCCATGACTTTGTTTAATAGATGGTTCTACTTTTATACAAGTCTGTTTTCCCTGGGTTTCTTTTGGCAGTACCCAAGTTGTTACGGACAAATAATCTTTGGCAAGTTGTGCTGGGGATTGCCATGGATCTACTCGTAGTTTACAACACACCACAAAATGCAGAGACTAATTTAGCACCCAAGCCAGGAGAGCCACCAAGGGAGGCAAACAGCTTCTGAGATAGCGGCTGAAAAGCTCTTCTGCTGCTTGAATTTTCTGGTGCAAGTTACAATTTGGAATGGGATATGAAAAAATAGAGGAATACTAAAAATATAGGAAAACACTTTAAAAAGTAGTGTTCAGTTGTGCTGCACTTGGTGATTCCATTTTTTCCCCCAGGCACAGTATGCCAAGAATAGGCAACTACTTCAGGCAAGGGTATATTTGCAATCTGGGGAACCGGTGGGGGGCTCCCCAACCCATAATGATTTGCAAGATTGCTCCAGGTCTTATAAAATGCTGCATTCTCAACGCCTGAAATCATGTATTTTGGACTTGCTTCCTAGAAGACTCTGATGAAAAAATGTCTTTTGTTCTTTCCTCCTTTGCTTTAAAGACCAAGATGGAGATCCAGAGGGCGCTGGCAGAAGACTCCACCGTATATGAATATGATGGTATTTATGAGGACATCCAGCAAAAGAAGGCAGAGGGCCACGCCAGCGTCCTTGCAGGGAGAGCAGAAAAAAAGGTCCATACCTTGCAATGAGTGCGATGTCTGCCTTTGTCTCTCTGTACCAGTAGCGGCTGGGTGGTGGAGAGCTACAGCTGTGGATGGTGGGAGGAAGCAGAGTGATGCAGAAAAGGAATATAGGGGCCCTGAGTGGAAAGGAAAACCCATCTGTGGAGCAACCTGAGGCAAGAATTTCCTCCAGGGAACATCCCATGGCCCATTTGGGAAGGATGGTGCTGCTACTGTTTATCTTTTGCACTACCACTTTATCGTTATAAATGGTGTTATGGCCAAAACCTGGCTCACCTAAAGCAACCAAATCGCTTTGAAGATACCACATAATTTTATTTGCACGTAATCAATAATGCAGCATTTACTGGACCCCCAGCAAAGCTTTGATACTTTGCTGAGCAGCCGTTGCAAAGGCAAGACGAAGGAAAAGGCAGACACAGTGGAAATTACAGCCTGACGTTGGAATATTTCAGATAAACCCATCTGTGTGACCTTATTATTGTTTATCCCTTCCTACCTTCCTACCAGAGGGATGCAGAAAAGGAATATAGGGGCCCTGAGTGGAAAGGAAAACCCAGCCATACTCTCTTTGAGATGTGATCAGTGAATAGAAACAGTTTGGTTTCCTGGGCCATGGGTTCCCGACTGAGTCTTCTCCCTGTCGCCATTCAGGGTCTATTCAGCTTGCTGTGAATGTTTTCTTACAAGGGCGCGTTAAGCAGTTCATAGGTATTGGGGGCATCTCAGGAGTTTGGTGGTGAACGTAGTTTACGTGTGTCCTGGGGGCGGGGGGGATACCTTTACCACCAGAATAGTGTAATCTTTGACTTTGACTTGACTCCCTGGATGAGTATCTGTTCCCATTTCAGGAAGAGGGAAGAGGATATCTTGCTAGGTCCACCTGGCGAGTCCGTGGGAGAGGCGGCTTCTCTGCAAGCTTTTGATACAAGTGTTGGAATGGCCTGCTTTTCACCCCTTGGAGTCCGTCCCTTCCCCTACTCTGGAATCTAGGGAAGATGGGACCTCTCCAAAAGGAGTGGAACGTCGTGCCCAGGAATTATAGTCCAATGTGAATGTAGGGAATGGGTGAAATCCGTACTTCACCTACGTGGGGCCCTCTTTCTTCCCCGCTCTTTCTCCTTGCAGCCCAAATACATCCAAAATATCCTCAGGGCGGCTGAGCTGCGGAAGAAGGAGCAGGAAAAGCGAATGGAGAAGAAAATTCAGAAGGAGCGGGAGACAGAAGGAGGTGCCTTTGACGACAAAGAAGCCTTCGTGACGTCGGCGTACAAGAAGAAGCTGCAGGAAAGAGCCGAAGAGGAGGAAAGGGAGAGGAAGGAGGCAGCGGTTGAAGGTGAGGAGGGAAGAATGGCCCTTGATCGGGTACGTCTTGGGGGGGTCGTTCAGCTGCAAACTCCCATGAGCCAAAGCAGGAATTGTTTGGGGAGGGGGTTGCGGCTGCTCAAATGCCTTCATTGCCGTCTTCCGTTTGGGGGCGGGGGGTATTGCATCTTGGGCACGGAAGGCTGAGGGAAAGCACATGCAGGAGTTTCTTTCGAGGCCTGCTCTCGTGCTCTGAAGCACGGCAAAGAACGAGCAGGGCATGCCAGGAGAGTATCTGGGAAAAATTGCCATTTGGCGTTCCTTGTCCAGACACGGGGGAAGGAGGCACAGTCTGCAAGGAAGGAGATGCAGACGAGATGTCGGGAGGAGCTTCCTGGCTGTATGGGCTGCCAGCAAGTGGCATGGGCTGCCAGGAGGTTGGAAGGCTGGGTGGTCATCTGTCGGAGACGCTCTGGTGGACCCGCTTGGGCAGGGGACTGGACAAAATGACCTTTAAGGCCCCTTCCGACTTGGGGATTGTGTGAGACGCCTGACTTCCACACCCACCTTCTCCGTTGCAGGACCTGCCCTTTGGAATAGCCTGCCCCACCCTGCCCCGAGATTGAACGGCCCCAGCAGTGTCGGTCTCCATAAGGCCTTGAATGCGTTTTTGTCTCACGAGCCTTAGGCGGACTGTTGGATGAGCCCATCCTCTGCATGAGGGGAAAGGCAGTCTTTACGGGCGGCGCAGGCTCCGTCCCCTCAACCCCAGCCTTTGGTTTCAGGGTGATCTTTGTGCAATTCATTCTGTCATTCATGCCCTGGTCACCTCCCAGGTGGACTGCTGTAATGTGCTCTACATGGGGCTGCCCTTAAAGAGTATCTGGAAGCTTCAGCTGGTGCAAAATGAAACGGCGTGGGCAGTTATGTGCATTTCTAGCAGAACATCTCTGTTCCGCGAGCTGCCTCGGTTACCAATTTGTTTCTAGGTCCAATCCAAGGTGCTGGTTCAGGCCTTTGAAGCCCTACCTGGCATGGGGCCAGGTTATCTGAGGGCCACCTCTCCCAATTACATCTGCCATCCCATCAAGTCCGGCAGAGAAGCCATGCTATGGGTCCCATCGGCTAGGGATCTACATTTGGTGGGTCTGAGGTGGTGGGCCTTTTCTGCTGTGGCCTCCGCATTATGGAGTATCCTTCTCCCCAGAGGGAGGCTGGCTTCATCCCTTTTGACCTTCCGAAGGTCCCTCAAAACCTGGTTGTGCCGTCAGGCCTGGGAAGCCCAGGGGACTGGTGAATTATTGAGGTGGCTCCACTATTAACATCTCTTTGCCCAATATTTCTTCTTTTTTAGCTTTATCTTTTATAGTTTTTAAATGTTTTTAATAATGATAATGACAATTGTTTACTGTTCATTAATTTAGCTGTTTTTTAGCCATGTTGTATGCTGCCCAGAGTCACTTGTTTGTGAGGTGGATGGCTATTATAAATTTGACAAATATAAATAAATAAATAAATTCCATCCATCTTTGCAGATCCTGCCTTTTTCTTACTAACGCAGAGGATGTGAGCAATAGCTTCCCCTGTTGCTATTACTGTCACTGCTGAATATTATTAGATGCCCTCTGAAAGCTTCCTCTTGAGGGGCTGCTGGCATGGGGGCAAGAGGCAAGGCCAGGTGGAAAGTGTCAGCCTTACCAGGCAGGCTAGACAGGAAACACAACCGGATGAGCTCATTCTACTTGATTGTGAGGCTACATTAACAGAATCGTGCAAGTCTGAAAGTACAGTTCTCCCGCCGTCTCCTTTACAGCCTGAGAATGTAGGGATGGTCCCTCCTGAGCCTCTTGCCCTGCCCACTATGCAGCTGTGGGCTCAGCTCCCTCTTATCTGACTGTTCCCGAGGCAGCATCTCTTTGCCCCTCTCCCAAGGTCTTTCCCACATAACCATTACAGAAAGAAATCTGTGGGCTTTCCTGAGATCAGATGCTGTCCAGGAATGTGTTTTCTGCACAGCCTTTCGTTCCGTGTTGAAAGGGAGGTAATTGAAAGGGGGCTGAACTAGGGTAGTTCTCTTCCTCTTTGTGATTGGATTCAGATCAATTTTATATTCTAAAAAGGAGAAAACAGAGGAGTATGTTCCTCCTCAGAATGTGGCCCAAAAAGGGATCCTCAGAATGTGGTCCGAAAAGTCAAGATGGTGGCCAGTTGAAGTCCCACGTGGTTTTTGTACGCATCGCACATGCGCCACACCTAAAGAACAGGCGGAGCTTTGCTTGCAGCTCTGCAGCTTCTGTCTTGCCTTTTTTAACCATGCCCTGTGGACATCCCTGCTATCTATCTGTCTGTCTGTCTGTCCGTCCGTCCGTCCGTCCATCCATCCATCCATCCATCC